TTGAATTTTCGGATGTTAAATGCATGACTGTTACAGTCACGCTATGCTTCCTCATTACAGCATTTGATTCTGTTCTTTCTCTTCTATGCATTGATTGACTTTTCCCCTTTAAGGAAAGCAGAGCTAATATATCCACGCGACCATTTGTTACTGAGATTTCCTATTTTAGCCAAATGGATGTGTGTTCACTCCTGGAAAAGTAGATATGCCATACTTTTCATGTGAGCCTCTGCTGCCCCTTTTCTGACATCTGACTTCTCAAGAGCTGGGATCCAGGCAGGTGGGGCTAGCTCCTGAGCTGGATATTCACATTGCCTCTCCAGATTCTCTGTCGGCTCTTCTCCACCCTGCTCTGTGCCCTAGGGCCTGCATCATCCAGCCTCCCTCACCTGTGGTTTCTGGTTGTATGAGGCCAATGGGAAGCACCAGTGGGAGATGAGAAGGTGAATGAGTGAGACTTCCATCCCTCCCCACTCAACCAGGCTGCAAATGGGCAGTGGTAGGGCTTCTCTTGTGGATTCCCTGTCCACAGCTCTCCAAATCTCCTTAAACACCTGCTTCCCTTGCCCCTTCAAATATGGGGGTGGGCTAATGGTTTCTTGCTAATTCTTGCTAATGGTCTTGAGGTACTGCACCATCTCTGTAAATTTCTCTTATTTCTACCCACTACTTTCTAAGTGATCCCATTTGTAAACTCCTCAGTGACCCCTTCTGTACACATTATGTGTTTCCTACTGGGACCCCAACGCTTACAATATCATGGGAGTCCAGGTATCCCTGGGAAGTTGAAACTATGTCAATCTTCAATGCAGCTGGTATCCTTGGGGAAAAATGCCTCCCTTTTCTTTAAAAAGAAATTATTATTTAACAATTAAGATGTAAAGGCATGCAAGGAATAAGACAATGAATTCCCATGCCTCTCAAGAAATAAAAATATCAATATTGATGAAATCTTTTTTTAAAAAAATAATCTCTGAAATACATCCCCACAGTGTTTTTGAGCTGAGAATCCAAACCAGGACCTACCTTGCTCACAAGAGGACAGATTTCAATGTGAGATGTGCCCTCTGGGGCATTTTGAAATTTACACGTTGAACTTGTGAGTGAATTTTTGTGTGTGGCTGAGAGAAACATTTGAGGTAGGCTTTTGGGAATGATATGCTGACCCAGCAGCAATCCTATTCAAGCCAACTGCTCTTTTTTTTAAATTTTTTTTTTTTTTAAGATTTTATTTATTGAGAGAGAGAATGAGAGAGAGCATGAGGGGGGGAGGGTCAGAGGGAGAAGCAGACCCCTTGCCGAGCAGGGAGCCCGATGCGGGACTCGATCCCGGGACTCCAGGATCATGACCTGAGCCGAAGGCAGCTGCCCAACCAACTGAGCCACCCAGGCGCCCCAAGCCAACTGCTCTTTTCTGAGTCACTGGGTATGAGTTGAAAGCACCAGCTTTGGAATGGGACAGGCCTGCTTCTCAATCTTGACTCATTCGCAGCCTCTGTGACCTTGAAGGAGCATTTCAAAGAAGCTCCTTGGATACAGAGGCCCATGCTCTACCGTAAGACATGCCCAAGATGGCATGGTGTATAGGATGTATAATGGTGTGTACAAGAGCACTCACTGCACACAGAACTACCGAGCAGGGGAAATGAGGTATGCAGTCTGATAAATATGATGCACGGTTACATGCCACAAAGGTGGTGAAATCTTAAGGCTAGACCATTAAGGTCATGTGGAGGGAATGGAGGAAAGATCTTGGAACCATATTGCTCAGCCCTTATCAAGCAGATGACATAGACAGGACCACAGCTCAGACCCAACTCCCAGCTCTCCCTTCAATTGTCCACTCTCCACTGCCTTACCTCTCACATCCATTCCAGCTCAAAGTGGCAGTATTTTTTTAGGTAAGCAAGGTATTAGCAGAGTTTCACTGTTTTCCTTTTCCAGAGTTTTAAAATAGAGCCTAGTGTGGGGATAAGAAAACCCAGATAAGCGAAGAACTGTTAGCACTTCCCGTCAAGGCAGTTCCCACTCTCTGACTAGAGTAGACAAGAATACGGGTTCTAGAATATGCTACTGAAAGACTCTCCTGGACCTAACTCTAGCCTGGCTCTTCTGAGTCCTCTTTCTGATGAGGTCTTGCCCTTGGGCTCTGTCCTTGACCCATTTAGTCCAGTTTTAGCAAGAATTCTGCTGGGTCAGTTGAGTGAGAATGGCTTACCTTTGATATCTGATCAGATTCCTCACCTCCCCCACCCCGCCTTGGTATCTGACAACCCTTGACATCTGATCAAATTCCTTATTCCCCTACCCTTTATATCTTATCACCTTGGCCTGCCTTCAGCAAAAATCCTGTGTAGTTGGTTTAGCAGAATTTTTCTTACCCCTGACACTTCCTTTTTATAATTTCTCATCCACTGACCCCTACCCTGATCCTTGGCAGCCAATCTCTACTTGCTCTTGTATCTGAGGTTGAGCCCAATCTCTCTTCTCTACCACAAAACCCCCATCGTAGTGGTTCCCCCTGAAAAGAGTCCACCTTACAGTTTTTTTTTTTTTAAAGATTTTATTTATTTATTTGACAGAGAGAGACACAGCGAGAGAGGGAACACAAGCAGGGGGAGTGGGAGAGGGAGAAGCAGGCTTCCCGTGGAGCGGAGAGCCCGACGCGGGGCTCGATCCCAGGACCCCAGGATCATGACCTGAGCCGAAGGCAGACGCTTAACGACTGAGCCACCCAGGCGCCCCTACCTTACAGTTTTTAACAAGTGTCATGAATGATTTTTTCTTTAGCATTACTACCTGGGTTCAAATTCCAGGTCCACTATTTATGGTCTGTGTATTATTCTCCTTATTTACAAAATGAAAATAATGAGACCTACCTCATAGGGTTATGTGAGAATTAAATGAAGTGATACATCTGTTTATATCTATATCCATATGTGTATCTATATCTATCTAGCACAGTGCCTGGGACATGGTGACACTCCATACTTTCTGGCTGTTACTGTTTCTTCCACTAGAGTGTAAACCCTGGAGGTAGACTTTGAATCTCTTTGTTCCAGTGCAGTATGTCCAGTGCTTTAGGAAGTGTCAAGTGCACAGTAAGCTTCCAATAAATATTTGATGACTGAATAAATGAATGAATGTAGTTCTTTATTTTCCTTTCCCAGAATTTGGAAGACATGTTGGAGTCCTCACACTTGCCCATGGTGATGGAACAAAGCCTCATGGCTTTCCTCTGTCTGGTAGCCAATTAAGGGCAGAGAGTACTTTAGGATGTATGCACTCATTCATTCATTCATTCAACAAATATCTAATGGTAGCAAGTGATAGAGATAAAAAGATGATGCAGACTCTGAATAAAGGCAGAGAGATCACGTGCCAGGTACAGGTAGATTTCAAGCATCCTTTCAATGTTGTTGCTGCGTCAAGGGAGAAGCATGTGTTGGCAAGAGATGAAGTTAGAAGCTGGAAAAGGCCACATCATGGAGGACTTCGCAGACTTGTGTTGAGTTCCACAGAAGCAATCCATGAAACCCGGTTTTGGATGCAAATGATTCATTAAGAAGTGCTCCATATAGAAGCAAAAGCAGAAGAAGAAGCAGAAGAAGGAGAAGAAGGAGAAGGGCTCCCAATGGAAAAAAATATTTGCAAACCATGTATCCAATAAAAGAGGTTAATATCCAAAATATATTTAAAAAACTTACACACAACTCAATAACAAAACAAACACAAATAATCCAATTTTAAAATAAGTGAAAGACCTGAATAGACATTTGTCCAAAGAAAATATACGAATGGCCAACAAGTACTTGAAAAGATGCTCAACATCACTAATTATTAGAAAAAATGCAAATCAAAACCATAATGAGTTATCACCACATGCATGTTAGCATGGCCATCATCAAAAAGTCAAGAGATAGCAAATGCTGGTGTGGATGTAGAGTAAAGGGAACCCTTCTGCGCTATTGGTTGGAATGTAAACTGGTACAGCCATAATGGGAAACAGCATGGAGTTTCCCCCCCAAATTAACAATAGACCTACCATATGAACCAGCCATTCCATTGTTGATTCTATATACAAAGGAGTTGAAAACGGGATCTTGAAGAGATATCTGCACCCCTATGTTCATTGCAGCATTAGTTACAATAGCCAAGACATGGAAATAACAGAGGAATGGATAAATAAGATGTGGTGTATAAACACAGTGGAACATTATTCAGCCATGAAAAGGAGGAAATCCTCCATTTGTGACAATATAGATGGACCTTGAGAGCATTAAGCTAATTAAAATAAGTCAGATAGAGACAAATGCTATATGAGTTCACTTTCTAAAAACAAAACCAAAAGCCAGACTCACAGAAAGAGATCAGAGTTGTGGTTACCAGAGGCAGGTGGGTGGGAGTGAGGGAACTGGAGGAATGGTGGTCAAATGTCCAAACTTCCAGTTATAAGATAAGTAAGTCCTGAGCATGTAACAACGTACAACATGATGACTGTAGCTAACACTGCTCTAGGCAAACAGACATGGTCAAGGAATATAAATCCTAAGAGTTCTCATTGCAAAAAAAAAATTTTTTTTCTTTTTCTCTTTTTTGTATCCATATGAGATGATGGATGTTAACTAAACTTACTGAGCTAATCATTTCATGATATATGTAAGTCCAGTCACACTATTCAACTTAAACTGTGCTGTATATCAATATATTATATCTCAGTAACACTTGTTGGGGGCAGAGAAGTGCTCCTAGAAAGATCTGATTAGAGAATGGGAGAAGCAGGGTGGAGAAGCCAGGAAGCCAACTGTAGTTGCTAGGGTCCAAGAGGGCCCCCCAGTGATCTCCACTGGCTGGTATCTGTTTTTGCTATCCTATCCCACATCATACCGACTGATCCATGTGACAAATACCATGTAGCAGAAGTGATGGCATGTCCCTTCTGAGATTTGGTTCTGTTTTGGGGCTCTCTTGCTCACTGGCTGGCTCTCTCCTTCTCTTAGATCATTTGCCTTGGGAGAAGAGAGCTGCCATGTCATGTGAGCAGCCCTAGAGAGAGGCCCATCTGGCAAGGACCTGAAGCTTCCTACCAACAGCCATGTGAGTGATCTTGGAAGCAGATTCGCCATCCGCATCAGATGGCTGCATCCCCAGCTGACAACCTGCCTACAGCCAGGTAAGTTGCTCCCAGATTCCTTATCCTCAGATACTGTGTGAGATAATAAGTGTTTGTTGTCTTAAGCCATTAAGTTTTGAGGGAATTGGCTATGCACCAATAGATAAATAATATACCCAGGAAGGGTGTGATTTTTTAAAAAAGATTTTTCTTAAAGATTTATTTATTTATTTGAGAGAGGGCACACAAGTGGGGTGGGCAGAGGGAGAGAGAATCTCAAGCAGACTCTCCGCTGAGCACAGAGCCCAGCACAAGGCTAGATTTCATGACTCTGAGATCATGACCTGAGCCAAAACCAAGAGCCAGACACTTAACTGACTGAGCCACCCAGGTGCACCTGAAAAGAATGTGATTTTAGGCAAAGTCCTAACCTCAACTTGATCAGCAGAGCAACTCTGGATTGTATGTTACACTTCACAGCTGGTCCTTACTTGAGGCAAGGGAGCTGGGTTTTCCTACTCTTATTTCTTTTTTTTTTTTTAAAGATTTTATTTATTTATTTATTTGAGAAAGAGAGAGAGAGAGAAACAGCATGAGAGGGGAGAGGGTCAGAGGGAGAAGCAGGCTCCCCGCTGAGCCAGGAACCCGATGTGGGACTCCATCCCAGGACTCCGGGACCATGACTTGAGCCGAAGGCAGTCACTTAACCAACTGAGCCACCCAGGCGCCCCCTACTCTTATTTCAATGAGTCAATAGGCTGCCTTGACTTTTGATTCTCTGTACTTGTGGGCAAAAAGGCTCCATTCGTGCAGAGAGGTCCTCTAGAGAGAGTCTAAGGTGTGGGCCCTTAGATGCAAAGCATACAGAAGCTGGGGGGAGTGGGGGAGATAGGAACCCAGAAATACTGGAAAGGATTCAAGGGGATACGGGACGAGCCCTGATGGTGTCCACTAACCAGGACATACCTGGCCTTGGTTTGCCCTGTAGGTGATAAGGAGCCATCATAGAATTTCAAGCAAGGATGGTTCTGTTTAACCCCTTCTGCCAAGAAATAACTATTTGTGGGAAATAAGTATCAGATCTAAGTGAAGCAACTCTTGCTTTGCTGTTCCCTACATTTTCTCTCTAAATTATAAATATACAAATATATATTATAAATATAACCTGTGTGTAACTCTGACTTAATGAGAAACATTTACAGCTTTTTCCCCCTAAGAATTGTCAACATCTTTTTAATAAGTGGTTTAATAAAAAAAACCTTTCGGCAATGATCTGCAGCTTCATAAAATAAAGGTATTTCTAAGCCAAAAAAATTTCTCTTTATTTTAATTATTGAAAATAATAATCATTTCAATAATTTATCAAAATATCACTTAAAAAATAAAGGATGTAATTTATTTCCTGTTTTGGCCATGATCACACTAGCAGCCCAGGAGGGAAATGGACTTATGAAGCCATTGTACAATCATTTAGGCCAGAGATGCCAAGGGTGGGAAAGAAGTATTGGACACAGGTAATATTGGGAGGCAGAGTCAGTAGTGGAGACGGAGAATTGGGTCGAGGAAGAGGGAGAAATTATGGATGATCTCCAGGCTCTTGATTTGGGTGAGGGATGAGGTGGAGACGGAGAGAGACAGAGAACAAATTTAAATACTGAAGAAGAACATTGAGCATTCAGCCTTCAGCTCTTTAGACTAGTTTCCCTCTTCCCTCTGTCCCTTCTTTATATTCATCTTTATTAAACATCTACTCCAAGAATCTTGCTAACACTGTGAGAGCTATATGGCGATCTAGGCAATTTTCCTGTCTTGAATTTGAGGCAAGATCAGAGATGTAAACAAATAATCAGGATGCTACCTGATAAAAAGACAGTGGTTTTGGAAGATAGAGGTTTTCTTCTTCCCATTATTTCTCTAGTACAAACTACCTTTCTTTTTTTTTTTTATTCTTATGTTAATCCCCATACATTACATCATTAGTTTTAGATGAAGTGTTCCATGATTCATTGTTTGTGCATAACACCCAGTGCTCCATGCAGAATGTGCCCTCCTCAATACTCACCACCAGGCTAACCCATCCTCCCACCCCCCTCCCCTCTAGAACCCTGTTTGTTTTTCAGAGTCCATCGTCTCTCATGGTTCATCTACCCCTCCGATTTCCCCCCTTCATTCTTCCCCTCCTGCTATCTTCTTCTTCTTCTTTTTTTTTTCCTTAACATATATTGCATTATTTGTTTCAGAGGTACAGAGCTGAGAGTCAACAGTCTTGCACAATTCACAGCGCTTACCAGAGCACATACCCTCCCCAGTCAAACTACCTTTCTTCTCATCCTCTCTGTGTGCGCCTCCCTTAGCTGTTCTCTTCCTTCTTGAGATTCTTCTTGTCTCATCTTCATTTTCTTTCCCCCCATTAATTCCCTGGGTCATTTAACATCTTGGCTAAAAGTTTCTCTGTGCCCTGCCTCTGTTTCTGTATTCCCTGACCTGCCAGGGAGGCTGCACTACTTGACTCTGCGGTACCTGCAGAAAGCTTTTCCACTGAATCAAACCGTGCGTGTGTTTGCATTGATGTTTTCTGTGTTGGTTGGGTTCCCCTGAGAGGCTGGTGCCTGAAATGTAGAATTTGATATTCAGTAAGACTGCATGTGCGGCTCACAATGGCCCATGTCTCAGGTGTGCAAATGACAAGGTGTTTAGGTTTCGGAGAACTGTCACTCCTTAACAGACACGCATAGTTCATAGTGATCATCATTAACATTAACAATTCCCGATCCCCCTGGATTTTCAGGGCTCTGCTTGTGCTCACAGCAGCAAGCCAGATGCTCATCCTTGCAGTTCTCCTGGGGAAGCGGGCTTGTGGCAGGCAATGGGATTGACAAAGATTCTGCTGCAACTAATGGTTTCTCCAGTATTGTCTCATTACTTAGAGTGGCCTCAAGTGTCCTCATCCTACTTCCTCTTTGCTATTATTATCCGATTCCTGCTAGGATGGTCCCACTTTGTCCCAGCAGCTTTACAGAAGGCAGCGAGGGAAGGGGTTGGCAAAATGGAACCCAACAGGGGCGTGGAGCTGAAGATGCTTTAATTCTTAGCCTTTAATCACCGCTGATCCTGAAATGATGACAGAAAGTAGCATGGTCTAAACACAACAAGAGGAACTCTGGCTGTGACCTGGCAGCTAATTAGGTCTGGATCTTAGCTTCTGCCCTTTTGTCCTCTCCTCCAAGGTCACAAAGGCTTGGTCTTTCTCTTGTGGGTTTGCTGAAGTAAAACTAACAGATTTATCTTCCTGCCACTGGTAGTAAACAACAGGAGACACTACTTGGGAGTAAGAGTATTCTTGTTATAAAAGGAATCCGTACAAGCCTTTCGGATAGACCCCAGTTTGGGATAGACTTGGCAAGCTGGCAGTTTCTATCTTCCATTGTCTTCTGTTGCTGTGCTACTGAATCCGAGATCAGAGCAGGGCTGAGCATGGCAGACTAGGACAAGACTGTCCAGCTGGAGGGCCAAATACTGTTCTCTAGCTCACGAGGTAGAGACACTAACAATTTCTTTGTTCCCGTCATTTAAAAAAGTGAACACAAACGTGGCATCTGGGCCACTTAATTTATTGATCAATCTCAGTATGTGATGCAAGTGAGGTGAGGTCAGCTTTTGGTTGGTCTTCAGGCAGCAAGGAAAATTGTCTGATACTATTTCAACCTCAGGTGGTGTCACCATGGGCAAGAAAAACTTGCTTTTATGTTTGCTGAGTTACAGAGGTGTCTGGCATACTTCCTCATCTCCATTCTAACTCATCATTGAGATCTAATTTTCATGACTGTATACTTCCCCATAATTTTTCTTGACCCCTTTTCAAGTATTCGTGTTCTTTTTCATAATGCTTTGTTTTTTTCCAAAGTTGTCCTCCCCCACATGACTGGAAGCTGATGCTACCTGTCAGATAAGAGTTTGGCTTGAGTTGGCATCAGATTTTAAGATTTTGTTCTCTAAATCCTGTCCAGGTGTGGGTGAGGCTCTTTGGTATGGCTCCTTGAATATGCTTCCTTTGACTCTAAAGACTTAGACAAGTCATCTGCTTCTCCACACACCTAATACACAGGTGATTTAAGGATAGAATAACTACAATAGCCACTCCCGTTCAAAAAGATGTGTGTGGGAAAGAGATACATATCAGCCACTGGTCCGTAGCTCTTCTGACATCTAGCCAGGCAAATGTCTGTTCCTTGATTAGCATTCAGTCTTACACCTTGAGAGTTATTCTCATGGTTCTTGTCTTTACCCTCTGGGCTTCTGGTTCTATGCTTTGAGCCATTCTTCTTTTTTTCCAGCTTTATTTAGATATAATTGACATATAACATCGTGTAAGTTTAAGGTGAACCATGTAATGATTTGATATATGTGTATGTTGCAAAATGATTACTGTAATAAAGTTAGTTAACACATTCATCACCTTACATAGTTACAAATTGTGTGTGTATGTGTGTGGTGAGAACATTTAAGATTTACTTTCTTAGTAACTTTCAAAGATACAATACAGTATTGTTACCTGTCATGACCATGCTGTACAGAATTATTCATCTTAAAACTGGAAGTTTATACACTTTGACTATCTTCACCCATTTCCCACCCCTGCATCCTGTCCCTGGCAGCCACCAGTCTGCTCTCTGATTTTATGAGTTTGTTTTTTTTTAGATTCCACATATAAGAGACCATACAGTATTTGTCTTTCTCTGATTTATTTCACTTAGCCTAATATCCTCAGGGTTCATCCATGTTGTTGCAAATGACAGGATTTCCTTCTTTGTTGTGACTAAATAATAATTCCAGTTTGTGTGTGTGTGTGTGTGTGTGTGTGTACACCAAGTTTTCTTTATCCAGTCATCTATTGATGGACACTTGGATTGTTTTCATATCTTCGCTAATTGCAGATAATGCTGCAGTGAACGTAGATTGCAAATATCTCTTTGAGATGGTGATTTCATTTCCTTCAGGTAGATCCTCAGAAGTGGAATTGCAGGATCAGATGGTACTTCTATTTTTAATTTTTGGGGGAA